TGAATCGGTTTTCAATGATTTCTGAAAGATAAATCATGCTCCCAATGCTATATATATTTTACATATAAAATTTATTATTCTCATGAGTTTCGTCATGAGTTTCGTCATTCGTCACGAGTTACATCATTCGTCAATTCGAAATTGCCTGATGAAACGGTTTCATCATTCGTCAGTGATAAAAGGTTTCTTCATTCATCAGTTAAGATTAGGATTAGAACAATATGGCGCCTATTAGTAAAATGGTACAAGAAACAGGTAAACAATTTTTTGTGGGAGAGCTAGAGACGTCTATATTTTCTTTGATTCTGACTTAATGCTGGCCGAATCTATGATTCATACCAATCTAATTTGATAACTTAGCCAAAGTTCTAGTAACTTACATCAATTATCTCAGTAACTTACCATTTACAACTGTTCTCATAAATCCTGGGACAATCGATAAGTTTTTGAATTCGATGTTGTAATGATAACACCGTTACATTCTCCAAAAAAGTATTCTAAAGAGCTAATCAGACGAAAGTCCTCCTATGACCTTACGGTAAAAAAAGCATAGAGCAAGTTTGATTTTATTGGTTAATCGACAAAATTCTGATTGGCTATAATTCCGCATTATTCCTTTGTAAAACTAATTGATCCTTTAGGAATCGTCTAAAGCCTGTAGTATTTTGCATGTACCACATGACCTAATTTACAAATTGATTAGTAATCAATTTAAAAAACTACCAGGCCAGGCTTTAGACTATCCCTAATTTAAATTATCCAGATTTCACATTTTAAGTTGCTCGCGTGAATTCAGAGACTTTTATTCAAAGATTCGTTAATTTTTACTAGTTGTTTCGTTCTAAAAAGATCAAAAATTTATCATATAGTTTCGTGTTACATATTAATGTCGCCAGAATCAATCTAAGTAAGTTTGTAGATTTCAGACCTATTCGGATCTTATTTCGTTAATATAAAAAAACATGTCTTAAAATATTATTTTACAAAATTTTTGAAAAGTTTAATCATAAAAAAAATTTTGTTCCTATTTCATGTTGAAAATTTTATTAAAATAATGTGTAATTGACAAAATTTAAAATCACGTTAAAGAGGCCACTAGTAATTGACTAGTATTTATTTAATAATTTTAGGTCTTTTTTTAGAAAGATCATATCTTATTAAAACGTAATCGTCAAAAAATTGTCTAAACTGCTCGCTCATATGTTCCGTATTTTCTTTAATACAATCAGAACAACAATCTTTCACATATGATTCGCTTTCACCATAAGTTTCTAACAATTCCTTGGTTGTTTCCACCTCAGGAAGAATTTGTTCCCAAAAGCCTATAAAATTAAACAAAATTAATAATTGACATTAAATATTTATCAACAATATACAGATAGCAAAATGAACCTGCTATATTTTGAATAAATTTTGGCTCCAAAAGCTTTAATCTACTTATTATGGATTCTAAATCAGTAGTCAAATCGTATATTAAGTAAAGTCCAATAATAATGCGAAAGTTGTTGATAATTTCATTGTCTTTCTTTAAAATAGAAAAATATATATAGTAAGTATAATGTTATCAAAAAGTGACTGTTAATTTTGTTTTTACCTTTTTAGAACGCTCGTTACTAACGTTAATTCTCCAGTTCCATAGGGAATGGAGATTTTTAAATAAGATGCTTTTAACTTCATTTTCCTCTTTAGAAGGCATTTATTAAAATGAATTAGCAAATCTCATAGGAAACACTTTTCACTTAAGTTTCTTTTAATCTTACTTTCGTTTGAGTCCTTGTGATTAGCCTTAAAAAACCCGTCAAATAGCCAACTCAATAGGGAAGAATTTTTAGCTAA